ATGGGAAATCGTTTGCCACCATCTCACTCAGTATTTTGTTTTTTGTTGTAGGGTTTGTAACATCTGCAACCAGAAGCTTGACTGTCCTGAAAACATCTCTTTAATAAAATCACAAAAGACAGTGTTTGTGGAGGTGCTTTTTTTTTTGCAAGATGTATTCCAGGAAAGCCTTGCTCCCACCTTTGGTATGGAAGGAATTCCGTTGCATTTCTTCCAGCTTGTGGAAGCTTCTTCCAGCTTGGAGTGAACTTACCAGATCCTGATCTATACAAAGTGGGGGCAAAATGCTGATTTCTAGGTAGAGCTGGAGCAGCAATCCGGTGTTTCGAGGGTCATGAATAACACCCCACGAACTGGAGTAGTATTGGTAACTCTTCAGTTACATACCAGTCCCTTTCTCCCAGCTTTCCAGAAGGGGGACCTTTTTTAGCAATGTCCAAAGCAGTTGCAGTAGTTTATACCTTTCTGGCTTCAACTGAAGTATTACTATATTCTACTAAATGCTTTTTTCACCTCTGTACATCCATTTCCCTTGTCACTGAAAAGACATTCACTATGTGACTTTCAGGGCTATAGACTGTATAGGAACATTATAGCTCCTGCTAGGGTCAGGTAACCTTAGCAGTGGAGATGTGGGGTGAGACAAACTTCTGAGTAGGTGTTTACACATTAGTTGGGGGGGAAGTGTACACTGTGGATTTCAAACCTTCTGTCCTAAGCTTTGAGATATATTCTAAGTGATTGGGGAAAAAACTTGTTTTCCTTTGAGGCTTGAGTAGACAGTCTATTAATTTGTCACTGAGTTAATAACTGGTTCTAATGAGCTGTAGGGTAATAGAGGTAGATCCTGAAGTCGGTAATAGATGACAAGGCTACTTATGCTATTGAAATGCGTAGTCTGGAGGCAGGGATGTGTTTTCACTTCTGTTCCATTGCTGTATGAATTACTTTTGATGCTTTTCTTGTCTGCTGCGGTCAAGCTAAAGCCCTGTGGCTGAAGCAGTGAGACTGAGCATTTGGTTAAGATTCAGGCAGAGATTCTAGTTCTGTCAGCTCCTTTCCCAGTGTGTTTTTCAAAGTCCAGTGCAGTAGCGGGAAGAGACTGTTATGCACATCGTAGGAGATTGTGTGTGCAGGATCAAGGCTTCGTTTTATTCAGATTTCGAGAAATTCAGAACGTGTTTGTTGCGTTAACAAAAATTGTACAAATCTGCAAAATTCGCTGCTTAGGAATAGCTTTTACATCCAGATTTCCATTTTCAGGAGCTTCTCTGCAGGAGCTAGGCAGGTGAGTTATGAACTGGAATTTCAAACTGACGGTGTCAGGAACTGGTCTGTCTGCCAGCGTGTGTGGATGTGTGAGCCTCAGCCTTCCTGTTCCCAGCTTCCCTGGCAGACCGCCTGGAAACCCGGCCTGGCAGGGTGCTGGCTGGGAAGCTGGTTAAGTCTGTCAGAGACAGATGTGCCTCAGAGAATGAGTCTGTTTCCAGGTTTATGTGCACATCTTTCAGTGGAAAGCTTTAAAAATGTTATTACACGTTAAGTGTTAGAGTACGTAATACCAACATTAATTTTTCAATTTTTTTTAAATGTGAATTTGAATTTTGGGGAAAAAAAAAATTGGACCAGCTTTGTTACTTTGTAGGAGCAGGGAGTGTGTGAAAGCTGAAAAGTCTGAAGCAGTAGAAGGGTGATACACAGTGCAAGGGCTTGCATGTTGTGTCTAAATTCTTAAAAGTCCTTATATACTAGATGACAATCAGCTGGAAATTTCTCCTGCAGTCCTGCAGTGAGGGCTGGCTTTCCCGGAGATCACTCAGTTTCTTTCTGGCTTAGAGCCCTCCAACCTGGTCTATCCGCCTATTAATCTCACAGTGTGGATCACTGGTAGAATCAAGAGTTGTTTAGTTGCTCGTGTGTAAGATCAAAAGGTGTGCAAGTAGCGTGTTTCAGAGTGGCATTGCTGTACCTCTCTTCTTGCTAGAGCCATCATGTTGTGAGAAGTTGAGGAGAACATCAAGGATTATCCCATAATGGTCAAGGTTTGCGTGCGTGAACTGAGTACCTTTCTAGCGTGCATTGGTTGGAGTATACCACCACCGCGAGCTGTTTGAAGAAGCAGAGATAGGTGCCTCGTTCAGTTCCCTGTGTCTTGAGGGTGCTGTCTTCCCTAGGATGAAAAACATGAGTATTTAAACGTGCTTGCAAGACGAGCTGGGGGTAGGATGAGCTCAGGAGCTCTGGAAAGCTTTTAACTTCCTTGCAATATTGCTATTCCAGGCTGATGGTGTTCCTGGGCTGCCACGGTTAGTGCTGGAGGTGGCTGCTGTAATCTTCTGCAGTGAAAGACTGATCTGGCAAGCATATGGTGCTTTTTCAGTCTGTGAGGAGCTCCATGCGGTTGTGTGTGCCTGCCCATCCCAGATATGTGCTATCTTGGTACAGGGAAAAGGGGAAATGTCTGGCTTTAGTTTTGCTTCTGTCTGAGTGGCAGAAGGTTGCATGCTTGAATGGACAGCAGGTTAATCCATTTCCAGCAGTGGAAGGACATGGGCCAGCAGGGTCTGACACTGCTGGATTTTCCAAGATGTGGCTGTATGCCCGCAACAATGGTGCAGGTTCTTGTGGTTCTTTTCCCTCTATTTATCTCATCTGCATCCCAGCTAGAGAAGCTTTAGGTTGTAGGGTCAGGATGGCTGGTCCCTGTGGCTAACAGCTCAGTTTTATTCCTACGCTGCCATATTTTCTTTTTAACTGAGCCATTTGCTGCTGTTAAATGTCAGAGCAGGGGAGGGCAGTAGGTCCTCTTACTGTGAAGCATTAAAGATGCTGGATACTTGCAGCTTCAGGAGAAAAATGTTAAAGTGAAAAGCCAATCTGCTAATAGTGTTCCCTTCCCGTGACACAGATGTCATGGGAATTCACGTGTTCTTGTGTATTAAGTGTAACTTTGGCCCATAATTACGAGATTAAGAAAGATGTATTGGATTTAAGGATGGCAAGGAACCTCTCTAAGCTCTTTTAAGAGTATTTTGCCTCCACCCAAACCCTGCAAGTGACTGTGGCTGCCAGAGGTTCATTGAAAAAGTTTTATTGCAAAATTATACAACTGTCATTGTGTGGTACAAGAACAGACAATAAAAGCCATCAGACGCCTGCATCCACACGATGCAAATTATTCACAATATCCCACAGTGTGTTCTTGCCTTGCCCACCCCTTTTACCCACCCCCCCCCATCCTCCATAACGTGCTACAGCGTGTGGGTTTCAGTGCGCCGACTCGCTGGGTAGTGTCTAGCATACACATTGGGCTTTAGGCTTCCTGTGCATTCTGGTACATCCTTGTGGATTGCCTCCTACCTCCCAACGCGCTGGGGAAAGCACCTGGGAGTATGATCTGGGAAGAGAGTAGGGACAAGATCTCCCATTCTGGTTGGCTTGGACAGGAATTAGGGCAGACGAGCTTTTCTGCAGTTGTGTAACCTCGCAAACCTGGAGAAGGCATGGTTGGGTCAAACTTGGGGGCGCAAGCTGCTGTATTTTTGCCTGTAGGAAATACCTTATAATAGACTTTGTAGTTGTAACTTAGTAAATAAGTGGAAATAGTCCTGTGTACGGTCTGAAAAAATGCAGTATTGGGCTTCTGTGTAGCAACCTGACAGCAAGCACATTGGCAGGGAAATGAAAACAAAGAAAAGCAATGCAGTCGCTGTCCTTGCTGGTTTCAAGTAACTGGCACTTAGATTGTGATGCACAGATTTCTCTCATTTCAGTAATCCTGTCATTACATGGCTTTGAGATGTCTCTCAGTGCGTAGCAAGGCTTACCTGACATGTGCTTCAATGCTCATGGGATCATTTAGTTACTTCTTTAAGTAGCATTAATTTGATGATATCCCTTAAAGAGAAGAAGATAGCAATAGCCTCCAAGTCTAGGCTGGAGCAGGCTGTGAAACTTGCTAATTACCAGACATAAATACGAGTATAACTATAAATACATTTGTTTTTCAGTGTGCCCTTATCCAGGTCAGCCAACAGGGAGTTAAAGTATCATGGATGAGAGGAGCTTCAGAAAAGGATCCTTAGGAAGTCAGGTAATGGCAGCTCTAAAGCTTTTATTTAAACAAGAAAGTGATCCACCTCCCCATGAGAAGCCAGCAGGAGTCCCCTGTCCTGCTACGAGAGCTGATAGATACCAGCCCTGGTCATAATTGGGAGAACCTTCACAGTGGTAACTGTCTCCTTCCCAGCCCTATGTGCTGATGCAGAAGCACCGAGAGAAGTGGAGTTCCTCTGTTGGCCCGGTACAGGATGTTTAATTCCAGATGTTGGCCCAAGAGCCCCCTTGGTGATCCCCAGAGGGGTGGAGCACAGCCATTTCTGTCATGCAAGAGTGTTGAAGGGACCTCAGGTTTATCTTTCTAGAAGCCCATCTGCTCTTTGGCCTCTCTGCTGACATCACTAAGCCACTTACTTCTCTGTGAAGTGTTGGAGCAAAGCTGCACTTGGCATTGCAGTGAGTGTTCTAGCTGATGACCTGCTGTGGTTGAAGCATGTAACAGAAGCATCTAACAGTCATCCAGAGCAGGGTTAGGCAGGACAGAGGGGCACAACTCCATACAATCTCCGTTCTTACATGCTGTCATGGTCCTGCTCTGTTCCCAGGGCCATAGAGAGGGCTGGACCGCAGAATTGGCCCTTCGTGCTCTGTTACATACCGCTGAAGGTAGAAGAGAGAAGCAAGGAACAACTGCAAAGCGACCAGAGCAGCTCTGGTGCGGTGCCGTATAGCATCTAAGGGGGAGAAAAGTAAGTGGCGGAGCTAAATGTGCAGAAGCATTGAGATGGAAGGGTGGAGGGCTTGTGCCTTTGCAGGGCTGATGGTAGCAGCAAGGTACTTAGCAGGAGGCTTAACTCTAGTGCAGGGAGGAGCTAGGCATCAGCCTGAACATCTCAGCTGAGGATGCCAGTAGCTGAGACAGTGCATGCCAGTTCCCTTCCACTTCTGGTGACCCTCTTGTGCCAGGCTCCCCTGTTCCTCTCTGGAGGTGGGTTTGTGCAATAAGTATTTTGGGGTGAGGTAAAGTGTATGCTGGTTTCTCATCACAATGCACCCTGGTCTGAATAGCACCCATAGTTCGAGAAGGATACAAAATAGTGTTTCCCGTTTTTTGAAATCCCCCACTAAAAAACACAAACCAAAGCTCTGGAAAAAAAAAAAACCCAAAACTAACTACAACTCATCACGCATCTTGTCCCCTTTGGGTCTCACGAGCCTGCCGATGAAGAGAATGGAGTTGGTTTTAGTGTCCTTGATCATGAAGATGAAGGGGTGGTCAGCATAGAAGAGCTTGGGGTTCCTCATCTCCTCTCGGCCGTAGATGTCAGCATCATAGGGGTTCCCTTCCGTGTCCCATTCAAGAGCAGCAGCGTGGAAGACGTTGGACAGGTAAAGGTCTTTCTTGCCAGAGATCTTTGACAAGTCAGCCTTGGTTTTGTCAATGGCTTCTGTCAGGCCCAGATCAGCCAAGTGTTTCTAGGAGGAGAAAAGAGGTCAGCAACCCTCCCAGAGATGACACAGTGCAATCCTTTCTAGCCATGGTTAGACTAGCTGCTGGAAAAAGGATGACAGGCACAGATAACCCATCATCCCACTATCTTCTCCCCCACTCCAAAGAACTGTAAGGCCCAACTGTTTTCTTTAAAGACCTCCTTTACCTGAAGGTCGTGGCTGACTTCCAGGATGACTTTAGGCAGTGAGATGGCCACTGATCTCTTCTTCATCTTGCCAGCCCAGGCCTTTAGCTGCTCCCTGTTCAGCAGTTTCTCAACCCTCTCCAGAGGCTCCACATGGTTTGGCATGATAAAGATCATGCTGGAGAGCTTGTGAGCAAGTGGCATCTCTACCACCTGGAGCTTCTCTGTCTCATCATCATAGTAATTGTAGAGACCTTGAAATCAGAAGCAGGAAATGGTGAGATGTGGAGCAGAAGCAAAGCTACCCACAACCTTGTTGTGAATTCACCTTGGACTTTCCCTGACCAGCAAGGGAAGTGAGTCTGAACACTGTTTTGGGAACTGGCCCAGCATTATTGGAGTTGGCAACAACTCAAAAATGCAGCTCTCATTTGTGTGATGAGCTGGGATTTATTCCTAACAGCCAAGCACTCAATAGTAAATGTGGATTCTCTCTGCTCACAGGGAGATTGAATCAGCAGAACGAGCACACTCTGCTTTGTTCTCCCTCACTCATTGACCATGAGGCAAAACAATCTTGGAAAGAGTTGGTGGAAAACTGGGTAATGGAGCAGCCGTGAGCGTAACTCCAGCTGGTCTTGACATGGGGCAGGGGGTTTGCAACTTACCTGTGCGATGCATCATAGGAACTCCCACAGTGTAGGAACGGGTCACCATGAAGCCACGGTTGTCCACCATCTTGTGATGGAACTTCTCATCCCAGTGAGCTACAGGAGAGAGAGATTCAGCTTGTAAGAAAAGGGAATGGGTGGTAATTTCATGCACAGTTCCTAACTACTCACTCTGGAAAAGAACATGCCTCCAGTGGACCTAGGGTTTGTTCACCTTCCCATTTGGGCTGCGATATATTGGCTCAGGCTAGGTTTGGGGTCACTTGTGTCAAGAATTGAAAGTAGAACTTACGCTTGAAGAACATGGCATTGACAATGAGGGCCCCATCAGTTTTCTCAACGTCTTTCGTGACCTCTGGGAGTTTCCCATCCGTGGTCTGGGCTGCCCACTCGTTAATGGATTTCAGGGCGCTCCTCTTGTCTCGGAAGTTGATCTTAGAGTGCTCGTAGTTGTAGTGTTTCTTGCTGTTCTTCACAAAGTCATCGGCGAAGTTGATGGAGGCAGGGCCGTACAAGCGGTTGCCGATCTTCCAGGTGACGTTGCGGGCTGTGCTGTTGCTGACCTCGTTCAGGAGCTCGGACAACCCGCTGTGCATGTAGTCGTCGTTTAGTTTGTCTGCGCTGAGCACTGCCTTGGCTTGGGAGGCGGTTGTGGCCTTGCCCCCAAGGGACACAAGGCCGAGGGAAGAGGCCACGACCACAGGGGACAGAAGGATGTTCTCCATGTTCTTGTCTTTCGCCATGGCATGGTAGAGGTTGAAGGCCAGCGTCGTGCTGCGGTCAGCCAGCGTTGTTGCCTTGTCGCTCAGCTTCCTGTCCTCCGAGGGCACGGCTGCAGCGACGCCGCAGAGAGCAAGCACCAGAATAATCCACATGGCTTCAGCAGCGCCCAACGCCTCCGAGGACCTGCTGGGCAAGAAGAGCTCACCGTCAGCATGATTCAAGCCCTTCCTGGAGCATTCAGAGACCCCAGGGGCTCTTCCAGTGAAACCCACTCCAGTGATAGCCAGAGCATCTGCATCAAACACTTCACTTGGGGTGCAACAATCCCAAGTCTACACTGGGCTTTCCCCTGAGCAACAATTAATCTTCAAGAGTCCAGGCTGCACTCTGGCATGCAGAGCCTGTGCATTTTGAATGAAAGCTTCCTTTTTAAGCAATTTTACTATATTACTATATGTTCATGTACAGTAAATGATTTAAGGAGGGGCCAGGGGATGGAAGCAAGATATTTCTGTCCCCAGAGTAGCAGGGCAAACCTCTGCCCTGGTCAGGAAAAGCCAAAAGCGGGATGTTTCTGCTGCCCAAGGGCCATGGGGCAGAGTGCTGCCCATTATTCCAGGGGCTATCGTGGTCCAGTGTACAGCAGGGATCGTCCTCTCTGGGGACCCCAGCTTGGTACCCAAATGCTCAGCTTTCTAGACACTAGATGGAGCACATGAGCTTCCACCAAGCTAAGTCAGAGGGGCCCCTTGAGAAGATCCAACGCTGTCTGGTCAGCTCTGTCTGACTTAGTTTTGTCTGTACCTCCCCAGGGAGGTACCAGGACAGAGGAAGGTGGTGGACCCTTCCTTTCCCCCAGCAGAGCCCCCTCCCAATAGGTTCATGCATTAGGTAGATGCATCTCATCACAACGTAGGTGCACCCATCCCCAGTGAGGGCTCTGAGCTACTAACTTTGATAAATCTGCAGACTGACCAGTCCTAAATGCAGTGCCTGAAAGCTCTTTGGAGCTCATCCTGCCTGCCTCCAAGGCTATAACCTGTCCCCAGACCTTCCCTCCCTCCTGACACTTCACGCTGCTCACAGCAACCCTTCCCGAGGCAGTTCCCCCAGGGTTTAAATTCCACCTCCATGCCCAAAGTGAGCTTTTCCTCCACAGGCTGCATCATGCCCCAGGCTACAGTGAAGTTGCCTTCCTCAGTCCTCTCCTCCCACCCTGCTCCTGGCCAGCCTCAGAGGCTGCTCCGTGCATGCGGAGACAAAACAGGGCTGCAATGGGGCAGCTTCAGGGTTAAAGCAAACAGAGCAGGAAGCGAAGGGCCCGCTGGGATTACATATGGAAGGAAACACGCACATAGCCCGAAGCAAAGAGAGTGCGCAGTTGCACCAGGGACCCTTTGCCAAAGTGGGAATTACGTAGGCTCAGAGAGGGAGGCAATTTGTATCCTAAAATCCTTTTGGGAGCAAGCCTTCCATTAAAAGGAAGAGCCATCGTGGCTACCCAAGAGCAAAGACTTGTGCAACAGGCTCAAAACTGCCCTTTGATGCACTTTTAAGGTGCAGACAGCAGCGGGTGTGGCAAGCATTTAAAATCTGAGGGGTTTTCTTTTGTTTTTTTCTTCCTTTTTATTTCTAAAGATACCTTGAAACTCTTTCATAGTGAGGTCAACGTTTGCCTTTTTCATTCTGAAAGAAAACAGATACATGGAGTAGTTCTCTTGCGAGCAACGGGCGGCCCACTCCGCTTACATCCTCAGCTTAAAAAAGGTTCATTACTTCACAGACTGGTGAGAAATTTGGCCAGGCGCGCTGGGCTGCGATGAGTGACGCAGCCTGCGACAGCGAGACAGAGAAATTTTGCCCATCCTTGGATTATGGCTGAGATTATTGGTGAATTCATAACTCAGGGTGAAAATAGGGGGAATCTGGGGGGGAACGCGCAGCTGATAACATCCTTTCCTGAGTTTGTATGGTCCAGCCCTGCAAGGGGACGCCCCGCGCCAACGTGGCATTCCGCAGACCTCCTCGGGGCTGTTGGGACCCGCTCTCCGGCAGGATTTGGAGGTGCCATCGCCCACGACAGCCAGCCAGAGGCATGCACCTCCTCCAGAGGCACGCGCCCCTTCGAGGACCATATTTCTCCCATGACCAAGACAAAGCCGCAGGACGGAGGCGTGCAAGCAAATGGCCATTTCCATGTCAGCAGAGGGATGTGACACTTTGTTAAGGCAGGCAGAAGGACAGGGTTAGTCAGTCTTGTCGCAGGGAGGCTGTAGTGAGAGCTCTCCCTCCTGCGCTGGGCTGGTGCCCAGGGTCCCGGAGGCTCCCAGGCTGGGCTGGAGCAGGGGCTGGAGGCATTCTCCAGCCAGGGCTGCTCTGGGACCACCTGCACCACGTTGGTGCTTCCCTTATCCCCCTCTTCTCTTTCTTCACCCCCTGAACAGGGTTAGTCAGTCTTGTCGCAGGGAGGCTGTAGTGAGAGCTCTCCCTCCTGCGCTGGGCTGGTGCCCAGGGTCCCGGAGGCTCCCAGGCTGGGCTGGAGCAGGGGCTGGAGGCATTCTCCAGCCAGGGCTGCTCTGGGACCACCTGCACCACGTTGGTGCTTCCCTTATCCCCCTCTTCTCTTTCTTCACCCCCTGAAAGTTTTTCCTTGGTGCAAAACCAGGGTGCAGCTTC